CCCACGGCTTCTCCTGTCAATCAATCAGCAAGATCGTGGAGGTGAGGACACACGAGGGCTGCAGGGTGGAAAAGATTTCCACTCCTCGTCTTTGTCAAATTAATTTAAAGGTCCAATCAGTGAGCTGTATAGAGAGTGAGATGATAAAGGTATCTTACTATCTGATCATTAAGGAAACATGCTATGTTGAAGTGCTGGCTTCTCTGACAACAATGCAGCAGCCAGTATGTCCTCCTTCTAACTTTAGATTCTGCTCCTGAATGCTCTGGATTTGTTTGGACCAGAGAAGGTAGGCGCTTTTAAGACACGCCCCCACACGGCCGTTTAGGACGCCCCTCGGTTTGTCAGATATGAGAGCAGTTATCAGGTCAACAGGTGTTGCAGCGATGGAAGCGGTCAAGAGAAGTGGTTCAGATAGAAGTGATTGTACCCGACCTAAAAAGCCTCTGCATGTTTCTAATAAGCTCTATGATGTTTAGAACTTAAACTGCAGTACCCATTGTGTGTGTGTGTTGTTAGGTGGCCTGTGTGTGTAACGACTCAGTCATCAGGAATCACGCTCTGCTGGGGCGACCGACAGAGGGAGCTCTCATCGCCCTCGCCATGAAGGTAAAACAAAACACTTTTTATAGGTCCACTAGATTACAGCTAAAATCTTATTCACTGTTATTTTGATAAATATTGAGATCAAGAATATGAATGTCGATGACTGGCTTCTCGGCAGGAAGTAGCCTGATATTTTGTCTTTGCTTTTTATCTGCCATTTTGCACATATCCGAGAAAACTGCCAACGATGATGGTCTCATTTAACGACGCCTGAGTTTAAAGAGCGTCTTGTGGCGGTCTCTGTGAAGTCGGAGCGAACAGTGTCCAGTGTCCTGCTCAGGGGAGGACACATCTCTTCTTCTTCTTCTAGCCTCTAGCGCTCAAACATAGATAAGCCAAACTGGTTCTACTAAAGAGGGATTACTGGGAGCTCCAGGCAAGGTTTACAACAAAATAAGTCTCAGAAAAATGACAGACAGAAGACGGATTGTAGGAGCCAAGTTATAAAGTGTAAGACACAAACTGCTCCAGCAGGTGTCACCTCTGGGTTCAGGTCATACACTCTACAGGTGGTAACCTTCACCGGGGTGTCAGGTGTTGCTAGACAGAAGAGCGCGAACACTTTTCTGACCGCTACAGCACACCAGGTAACGCGGAGTGAATCTTTGTGTGGACATTTAGAATCTTGCATGTGAAATATATTGAATGAGAAATAAATATTCCTGTGAAGTGAAGCCAAGTTAGTAAATTAGTTTTTTTTTTTTTTTTTTTTTTTTTAAGATTTAGTTTGGGCTTTTCGTGCCTTTAATGCAGAGAGAGGACAGTGGATAGAGTCTGAAACCAGAGAGAGAGAGAGGACAGTGGATAGAGTCTGAAACCAGGAGAGAGAGAGGACAGTGGATAGAGTCAGAAACCAGAGAGAGAGAGAGGACAGTGGATAGAGTCAGAAACCAGAGAGAGAGAGGACAGTGGATAGAGTCTGAAACCAGAGAGAGAGAGAGGACAGTGGATAGAGTCTGAAACCAGAGAGAGAGAGAGGACAGTGGATAGAGTCTGAAACCAGAGAGAGAGAGGACAGTGGATAGAGTCTGAAACCAGAGAGAGAGAGGACAGTGGATAGAGTCTGAAACCAGAGAGAGAGAGAGGACAGTGGATAGAGTCTGAAACCAGGGAGAGAGAGAGGACAGTGGATAGAGTCAGAAACCAGAGAGAGAGAGAGGACAGTGGATAGAGTCAGAAACCAGAGAGAGAGAGGACAGTGGATAGAGTCTGAAACCAGAGAGAGAGAGAGGACAGTGGATAGAGTCTGAAACCAGAGAGAGAGAGAGGACAGTGGATAGAGTCTGAAACCAGAGAGAGAGAGAGGGCAGTGGATAGAGTCTGAAACCAGAGAGAGAGAGGACAGTGGATAGAGTCTGAAACCAGAGAGAGAGAGAGGACAGTGGATAGAGTCTGAAACCAGGAGAGAGAGAGGACAGTGGATAGAGTCTGAAACCAGAGAGAGAGAGGACAGTGGATAGAGTCTGAAACCAGAGAGAGAGAGAGGACAGTGGATAGAGTCTGAAACCAGAGAGAGAGAGGACAGTGGATAGAGTCTGAAACCAGGGAGAGAGAGGACAGTGGATAGAGTCAGAAACCAGAGAGAGAGGACAGTGGATAGAGTCTGAAACCAGAGAGAGAGAGAGGGCAGTGGATAGAGTCTGAAACCAGGGAGAGAGAGGACAGTGGATAGAGTCTGAAACCAGAGAGAGAGAGAGGACAGTGGATAGAGTCTGAAACCAGAGAGAGAGAGGACAGTGGATAGAGTCTGAAACCAGGGAGAGAGAGGACAGTGGATAGAGTCTGAAACCAGAGAGAGAGAGGACAGTGGATAGAGTCTGAAACCAGAGAGAGAGAGGACAGTGGATAGAGTCTGAAACCAGAGAGAGAGAGAGGACAGTGGATAGAGTCTGAAACCAGGGAGAGAGAGGACAGTGGATAGAGTCTGAAACCAGGGAGAGAGAGGACAGTGGATAGAGTCTGAAACCAGAGAGAGAGAGAGGACAGTGGATAGAGTCTGAAACCAGGGAGAGAGAGGGCAGTGGATAGAGTCTGAAACCAGAGAGAGAGAGGACAGTGGATAGAGTCTGAAACCAGGGAGAGAGAGAGGACAGTGGATAGAGTCTGAAACCAGAGAGAGAGAGAGGACAGTGGATAGAGTCTGAAACCAGAGAGAGAGAGAGGGCAGTGGATAGAGTCTGAAACCAGAGAGAGAGAGAGAGGACAGTGGATAGAGTCAGAAACCAGGAGAGAGAGGACAGTGGATAGAGTCTGAAACCAGGGAGAGAGAGGACAGTGGATAGAGTCTGAAACCAGAGAGAGAGAGGACAGTGGATAGAGTCTGAAACCAGAGAGAGAGAGGACAGTGGATAGAGTCTGAAACCAGGGAGAGAGAGGACAGTGGATAGAGTCTGAAACCAGAGAGAGAGAGGGCAGTGGATAGAGTCTGAAACCAGGGAGAGAGAGGACAGTGGATAGAGTCTGAAACCAGAGAGAGAGAGAGGACAGTGGATAGAGTCTGAAACCAGAGAGAGAGAGGACAGTGGATAGAGTCTGAAACCAGAGAGAGAGAGGACAGTGGATAGAGTCTGAAACCAGGGAGAGAGAGGACAGTGGATAGAGTCTGAAACCAGAGAGAGAGAGAGGGCAGTGGATAGAGTCTGAAACCAGAGAGAGAGAGAGGGCAGTGGATAGAGTCTGAAACCAGGGAGAGAGAGGACAGTGGATAGAGTCTGAAACCAGAGAGAGAGAGAGGACAGTGGATAGAGTCTGAAACCAGAGAGAGAGAGGACAGTGGATAGAGTCTGAAACCAGAGAGAGAGAGGACAGTGGATAGAGTCTGAAACCAGAGAGAGAGAGAGGACAGTGGATAGAGTCTGAAACCAGAGAGAGAGAGGACAGTGGATAGAGTCTGAAACCAGAGAGAGAGAGGACAGTGGATAGAGTCTGAAACCAGGGAGAGAGAGGACAGTGGATAGAGTCTGAAACCAGGGAGAGAGAGGACAGTGGATAGAGTCAGAAACCAGAGAGAGAGAGAGGACAGTGGATAGAGTCTGAAACCAGGGAGAGAGAGGACAGTGGATAGAGTCAGAAAGAGAGAGAGGACAGTGGATAGAGTCTGAAACCAGGGAGAGAGAGGACAGTGGATAGAGTCAGAAACCAGAGAGAGAGAGAGAGGACAGTGGATAGAGTCTGAAACCAGAGAGAGAGAGGACAGTGGATAGAGTCTGAAACCAGGGAGAGAGAGGACAGTGGATAGAGTCTGAAACCAGAGAGAGAGAGAGGACAGTGGATAGAGTCTGAAACCAGAGAGAGAGAGAGGACAGTGGATAGAGTCTGAAACCAGGGAGAGAGAGGGCAGTGGATAGAGTCTGAAACCAGAGAGAGAGAGGACAGTGGATAGAGTCTGAAACCAGGGAGAGAGAGAGGACAGTGGATAGAGTCTGAAATGACATGTGGAAAGAGGCCACAGGTGGAAGCGAACCCGGGCCTACCGCTCGAGACGAGTCTCAACACATGGGACGCGCGCCCTAACCACATTGTGTGTGTGTGTGTGTGTGTGTGTGTGTGTGTGTGTGTGTGTGTGTGTGTGTGTGTGTGTGTGTGTGTGTGTGTGTGTGTGTGTGTGTTCCAGATGGGTCTGGAGAGCCTGAAGCAGGAGTACGTCCGTGTGGAGGAGCATCCGTTCACCTCGGAGCAGAAGTGGATGGCCGTTCGCTGTGTTCACCGCAGCCTGCAGGTCAGCATGGTCACTGATATCTGAGTGTATCACCTCCACCTCCTGCACCAACCTGCTGCGTCCTCAAGAACTCTTTAACTCGTGCTTAATATAAAGAGGACATATTCTCCCCCTCCTCCACCTTTTCAAACAGTCCCCCTCCTCCACCTTTTCAAACAGTCCCCTCCTCCTCCACCTTTTCAAACAGTCCCCCCCTCCTCCACCTTTTCAAACAGTCCTCCTCCACCTTTTCAAACAGTCCCCTCCTCCACCTTTTCTAACAGTCCTCCTCCACCTTTTCAAACAGTCCCCCTCCTCCACCTTTTCAAACAGTCCTCCTCCACCTTTTCAAACAGTCCCCTCCTCCACCTTTTCTAACAGTCCTCCTCCACCTTTTCAAACAGTCCCCCCCTCCTCCACCTTTTCAAACAGTCCTCCTCCACCTTTTCAAACAGTCCCCCCTCCTCCACCTTTTCTAACAGTCCTCCTCCACCTTTTCAAACAGTCCCCTCCTCCACCTTTTCTAACAGTCCCCTCCTCCACCTTTTCAAACAGTCCTCCTCCTCCACCTTTTCAAACAGTCCTCCTCCACCTTTCAAACAGTCCCCTCCTCCTCCACCTTTTCAAACAGTCCCCTCCACCTTTTCAAACAGTCCCCTCCTCCTCCACCTTTTCAAACAGTCCCCCTCCTCCACCTTTTCAAACAGTCCCCTCCTCCACCTTTTCAAACAGTCCCCCTCCTCCACCTTTTCAAACAGTCCCCTCCTCCTCCACCTTTTCAAACAGTCCCCCTCCTCCACCTTTTCAAACAGTCCCCTCCTCCACCTTTTCTAACAGTCCTCCTCCACCTTTCAAACAGTCCCCTCCTCCTCCACCTTTTCAAACAGTCCCCCCTCCACCTTTTCAAACAGTCCCCTCCTCCACCTTTTCAAACAGTCCCCTCCTCCACCTTTTCAAACAGTCCTCCTCCACCTTTTCAAACAGTCCTCCTCCACCTTTTCCAAACAGTCCCCTCCTCCACCTTCAAACAGTCCTCCTCCTCCTTTTCAAACAGTCTCCTCCACCTTCAAACAGTCCTCCCACCTTTCAAACAGTCCTCCTCCTCCACCTTTTCAAACAGTCCCTCCTCCACTTTCAACAGTCCCCGGTGTCTAAATGAAAACATCTGTTCTGTGCTTTGGTCAAAATATAACATGAATCAAGCACCAGAGGAGGTTTGTGACCCTGTATAAACACACTCTCTCACAACGCTCCGTTTGGTGTGTGTCTCTTTTAAATGTAATTGACCCCCCCCTGAGTTTTCCCCGTAACATCACTCCTCTGTAAGAGAATAAAAATGGCTGACCTGCGTAAAAGTTTTGTTCTAGTGGGTGGAGTCTATGGGTGGAGATACAGGGAGAGAGGGATTTTTTTTAACCAGAATCCCACTGTGACATCACAAGGAGAGCACATTTGAAACAGAGCATTTTTCTCTGTGTTGTAAGACTTATGCAGACCACAAACAAAGGACTGGATGGGTTTATTTCACATGTTGTGGGTCAGTAGACTCTCAGGATACCCAGCGCCATTTTCTACTTTTTATCAGACATTATTCTCCATCCGTAGACCATCTCTAATACGAGTGGTGACCGACAGCGGTGTGAAAACGGTCTTCTCATATCATAACAACTGACTACCGCCCCCTGCTGGCATGAAGAGTTACTTCCCCTCACGCATGAGCAGAACGTACGTGGTGGTTGGCCGTCGGCTGTAGTCTTTGCGGTGTGTTCAAGTGCAACTTTTTGGCCAAGATGTGAGGCGAGACAAGCGGTTCTGAGCCACACAGTAACAAAAGCTGACATCGAAGCTGACAGGGAATCATTAGAGTGATTCTCTCCGTATAATTTGCATGATGTTTTTATCACAGCAGCTCATACAGCAACAGTACGGCAGCTTTCAGCAGCAGCTCACACTTCATTATACAGTGGTCTTTGATGTAACATCCAGTGTTTCCACGGCAACCATAAACATGTCGTTACATGGTGGACCTCATAGTGCTGTGACTTAGCTTTGGTTAAAAACACATTATTGTCGTTTTTTGGTCGATTAAATGTCTGCGAAACTGTTTCCTGTCACTTGTTACTTTTAAAAACGTCTTTAACACGATGATTAACGGGATTTATTTGTGGTGAAAAACGTAGAACGCAAGTCTTCCTTTCAAGGTTAACCTTTTTTATTTTGTGGTTTGATTTGATCCAATCATCTTCACGCTCCTCTGCGTCGCTCCCTCAGGACAAACCTGGAGTGTACCTGATGAAGGGAGCGTACGAGCAGGTGATTCGCTTCTGCAGCTCCTACAACAGCAGAGGAAGCTCACTGTCACTGAACAACCAGCAGAGGGAGCTCTACCAGCAGCAGATCAGCTACATGGGCAGCGCCGGCCTCCGAGGTAAACAAACACTCTGACACAGAAGAGAAACTGAAGCTGAATCATTCCCGTGGTTATTCACACCGTTTCTCTGTGTCTTTCTCTCGTTAGTTTTGGCGTTTGCGTCCGGCTCCGAGATGGGGAATCTGACCTTTCTCGGCCTGGTGGGCATGATCGACCCGCCGAGGGTCGGTGTCAAAGAAGCCGTGGGGACGCTCATAAGCTCCGGAGTCGCCATCAAGATGATCACAGGAGATTCTCAGGAGACGGCCGTGTCCATAGGTCAGAATGAAGTTTCTTTAAAAATGACCCCGACGCAGTTTCAGTCTGAGAGAATCTTTCAAAATAAAATACATACACGGGGACTCACCTCTCCGGGACTTGAACCGGGGACTCACCTCTCCGGGACTTGAACCGGGGACTCACCTCTCCGGGACTTGAACCGGGAACCCTCCGGTTCCCACCCACATACTGAGCTCAGCCTGAAGTCATCTATCGTGTTTTATAAAATCAGGATCCAAAATGATTAACATGACAGCATTTCTAAAAAAGTTTGTTTGAAGAAAATACTTTTTAAAGGCAAAGAGATCTCTGACTAAACTTTTGTGTGTGTGTGTGTGTGTGTGTGTGTGTGTGTGTGTGTGTGTGTGTGTGTGTGTGTGTGTGTGTGTGTGTGTGTGTGTGTGTGTGTGTGTGTGTGTGTGTGTGTGTGTGTGTGTGTGTGTGTGTGTGTGTGTGTGTGTGTGTGTGTGTGTGTGTGTGTGTGTGTGTGTGTGTGTGTGTGTGTGTGTGTGTGTGTGTGCGCGTGTAGCCAGTCGTCTGGGTCTGTACTCAAAAGGCTCTCAGTGTTTGTCAGGAGACGAAGTGGATCAGCTCGACCTGCAGCAGCTTTCTCACATTGTGTCTCGAGTAAGAAACACACACACACACAGACAGATCACGCACACACACACACACACACACACACACACAGACAGATCACACACACACACACACACACACAGACAGATCACACACACACACACACACACACAGACAGATCACACACACACACACAGACAGATCACACACACACACACACACACACAGACAGATCACACACACACACAGACAGATCACACACACACACACACACACAGACAGATCACACACACACACACACAGACAGATCACACACACACACATATGGAAACTAAGTATGTCTCTTTTAGTTCGGGATTTATTCAGTTTTTCTAATATTTAAAAAAACAAAAAGTCTGGTGATAAAATTTAAATCTGCAGCAGCTTCTACTTCTTGATTTCTGAAAACAGAATCATGACTCTGCACAGATGTTTGTGTTACAGACGTGCTCTGCCTGTCGTAATCTGTGGGGTGTGTTCTGTCTCTGCAGATCTCCGTGTTTTATCGAGCCAGTCCACGACACAAACTGAAGATCGTCAAGGTGAGAACGTCGAACCAAACTGACCCGAGAGACGTTTAAACCACAACATCGATTAGCTGAGAAACCAGCAACTTCCACACAGCCTTAAGTCTCTTCTCTCTCCGCAGTCCCTCCAGAACATCGGGGCCGTGGTGGCCATGACAGGTGACGGGGTCAACGACGCCGTGGCCCTGAAGGCGGCCGACATCGGCGTGGCGATGGGACAAACGGGCACCGACGTCTGCAAGGAGGCGGCCGACATGATCCTGGTGGACGACGACTTCCAGACCATCATGTGAGTGGAGCGTGAGTGTGTCTCTGAGCGGTGACTTCAGGAATCAGCAGACTGTAAGGTGTGCTCTCTGTTCCTCCAGGTCGGCTATCGAGGAAGGAAAAGGAATTTACAACAACATCAAAAACTTTGTGCGCTTCCAGCTGAGCACGTGAGTGAAGAAGTTAAAATACAGATGTTGTGATGTTTAAAACTTTAAAGGTCACATATCCTCCTCTTCTTCTTCAGTGTAAATAATTCTCAGAGCTCCTCAAAACATGTGTGTGAAGTTTCTTGTTCTAAATCCACTCTGATCCTGTATTTGATCATGTCTATAAACCCCTCTATTTCAGCCCTGCTCAGAACAGGCTGTTTCTGTGTCTGTACCTTTAAATATGTAAATGAGCAGTGTCTGACCACGCCCCCTCTCTGGAAGGGCTTGGGTGTACTCAGTCTTTCTCGCTCCATGTCCTATTGTTTACGGTGAGAAGGCAGACTCAGAGGGCAGAACAAACACCTAGCTGTGGGAGTGTCACCCACCTGGGGGAGGGGCTACTGCCCTTTGTGATGTCATGAAGGGAAAATCTCCAAACGGCCTGTTTAAGCACACATTTTCTGAGAAGTGCTGTGGGAGTGTCCCTCTTCCTTCTTGCCTCAAAATGAACATCCTGCTGTGTTGAAGACGACCTGAAAGATAGAGACGCTCATTAGTAAAATGTTTATTGAGGGAATAAATCAGCTGACAAGAAGCAACATTTAACAGAGACTTCTGTACAATCTGCAGCTAATGGAGTTGCTCCCTCTGCTGGACATGAGACAGAATGCAGGATTAAGTCACTTCAGCCTTTACAAACCTGAAGGCTTCGTCCATTTCTCCTCTTGTTTGTTTTCTGTTTTTGTACCAACCTGACACTCCCCCTCCCCCTGCTGGTCTGCAGGAGTATCGCAGCTCTGACGTTAATCTCTTTGGCGACGCTGATGAACTTCCCCAACCCGCTGAACGCCATGCAGATCCTGTGGATCAACATCATCATGGACGGACCTCCTGCTCAGAGGTACAGGGGCATCATGGGAACTGTAGTTTAAAGTCTAAAAGAGTGTTTGAACGTAAAAACAAACTCTGAAATCTCTCCGCTTTTCAGACATTTTAAATGTTTGCAGAGAAATTAAATAGATAGAGGAAACTTTTTAACACTAAAACAAAGAAAGACTTCCAACCTGACCATGAGCAAAAACATGTCATTTAAAGTACAAGTATAAAACGTGTGTGTTTCGTTGTCAGTTTGGGCGTGGAGCCCGTGGACAGGGACGTGATCAGACAACCTCCTCGTAATGTGAGAGACAGCATCCTGACTCGCAGCCTGCTCGTTAAAGTCCTGGTGTCGGCGTTCGTCATCGTGTGCGGGACGCTGTTCGTCTTCTGGAGAGAGGTGAGGAACTTTGACTCATGTGACGACTCTTTCTTTTTCTCTGGGCGCTCTTTTGACATTCCACGACCTACGAACCTATCCGTCAGACCAGCGACAAACAACAATTCTTCACTGTCTTTAATCTCTTTGATGATTTACTGAACTCGCCCCATCATGATATTCCTTCCAGAACAACTCCCCACGATTTGATTTCGATTTCACACATTTCATCCTTAACGATCCACGGATTGCTGCAAATCAACCTCCACATTGACCTTCCACTGACCTTTTGATGACACCTCATAACAGCCAATGAGAGCCTTTGTTGAAAGGAGGCGTCTCCCCCTGCTCTGACGGCCAATCGCATGCGACTGTGCCGATGACTGAGATCACTGTGGCTCAGTGGGTGTCTCAACAGGGAGGTCGGGGGTTCGATCCCCAGCTCCCGCGGCTACATGTCCGGTGTGTGCTTGGGAAAGACACTTAACCCCAAGTTGCTCCCTCTGCTTTGTCTGTAAAGTGTATGAATGGATGATGAAAACATGAACTGTGACAGCTGTGTTTTAAACACTTGTTTTTCTTTTTTTTTTGGTTTCCAGTTGCAGGACAACGTGATCACTCCTCGAGACACGACCATGACCTTCACCTGCTTCGTGTTCTTCGACATGTTCAACGCTCTGAGCTCGCGTTCGCAGGTAACCATTAGAAGCATGTACGGCTTATCATGACCACACGCCCCCGGACACAAAGTCGGGGTTTATTAAGTACATGAAGTACATTTACACATACAAGGAATTTGACTTGGTGTATTGGTGCTAAACAATTAACAAGGAAATAAAGCAGAACTAGAAACAACTTAAATAATACAGAATAAGAAGATATTACAATATATAAAATAGGATTTAAAATGTAAAATAGAAAAAATAACACAAAATGTACAAAAGGTGACATGTAGGAGCTGTATCTATAATCTATCCTTCTACATGTTTTCTGTGTTAAAACTGTGATTTGTCCGGCTGTGAGATGAATGTGGGATTGAAGAGTGATCTCAGTGTGTTCTGCCCCTCAGACTCGTATGGTCCATGAGATGGGTCTCTGCAGCAACAGGACGTTCTGCTTCGCCGTCCTGGCCTCCATCATGGGTCAGCTGCTCGTCATCTACTTCCCTCCTCTGCAGAGCGTCTTCCAGACGGAGAGCCTGAGCTTCTTCGGTAAGAACAAACCCTTTACAGCGGGGGATTCTTCTTATCTGATGATGCTTTAGGGTATAAACATCATCATCAAGACATCATTTCAGTCAGCAGCAGGCGTTAATGGCTCCTCATGAAGGAGGAGGTGGATTACATGGCAGCAGTTACAGTCTGTGTCGCTGCTGCTGGCTGAAAGAAGTTGCTTCTATCGGTCACTTTCTGGCCCTAACATGTAGAAACAGTTCTAAAACCATGTGGTGTCACGTGTTGAAAGGAAACGTTCGATTCTTCATCCTGTTCCTGTGTTTCTGACGCTCCTTCAGACCTGCTGTTCCTGGTGTCCCTCACCTCCTCGGTGTGCGTCGTGTCCGAGCTCATAAAGATGTTGGAGAGGTGGAGAGGAGTCGAGAAGAGCGTGCCCGCCGACTGCTTCCACGAGGTATGACCCCCCCCCCCCCCCCCATCCCTCCTCGACGCCGTGCTGTCCGGCCTGAAGGACTCTGAGGTCTGGAGGAAGAAGAAGAAGAAGAAGAGGAGGAGGAGGAGGAGGAGGAGGAGGGTGGGTTAAAGGATCTCACAATCGATGGCACTGACTTAATAAGACTGCAAAGACTTCTCCTGTGAGATCCTGAAGAGGGACGAGGGACTCTGGTCTGGGAGCGGAGGAGGACGCTCCCGCTCTTTTGAGGGAGGGGAGGCGGGGGGCGGATGGAGGCTAAACTGAGAGGACATGAAGGCTGCTGGGAGATCTGCCCCTCTGCTCCGTGTTCCCTCCAATAAAATGGATCCACAGCAGCTCTTTGGCTCCCTCCCCCTGGCCTCGGTGAAGACCCCCCCCGACCGTAGCTTTGGGGGAACAGAGCACACCTTCCTGCTGTGAAGCGGCTCCTCGATGTTTTAGGACGTTCTCTAAGAATCCAGGCGTGTGCAATTCTTGGTTCTCTTCCAGTCGTCTTTTTTTTTTTTACTCTTTGTTTTGGAAGGTGTTGACCACTACTCAGCTCGCTCTGTCACTTCCAACACGACTCCTTTTAACGGCTTTATAACCATTATGTGGAGGTGTGACGGTACACTGCAGAAACTCTAATCTTACCAAATGTCCTTACACCCGACAGTTCAGCTGACAGGTCCAGACACACATCTGATTTCAGGATATCCATGAGTGACTTCTTTTAGTAAAATAGATTTATATCCTCAAAGACAGAGAGTCAACTTAACTTCTTAAATGTGATTTCATAAAAAGAGATGCAGGAACCTAACTGGTTCTCGACCAATGACAGCTGAGATCGGCTCCAGCTCGCTCAACACAGAACAGGAAAAGCCGTAGAGATGATGGATACTAGAGTTTTAAAAATCCGGTTTATGACTTGATGCGGGGATGTTTTTGTACTCTTGGTAAGATTTGAGTTTTTTTTGCAGTGAACGAATCAAAACAACAACGGGGAGGGAATAAAGTTTGATATTTAAAGTCGGCCTACAGCTGTGTGGTTCTACTGTAAACATGAAGGCACTGAATCATGGACATCAGATCAGAAAGCGGAGGCTTCATGCCATCGCTGTTTTTAAAGCTTAAAGGATCCAAAACGGTTCTGAGGTGGGTCTGGGATCTGATCAGGATCCTCCTGGACCCCTTGGTGGACCCAGAGCTCTCTGTAGGGATTAAACATCCCACCTGGCCTGGGGCACGCCTCGGGGACCCCCCAGGAGGAGCGGGTAAACGTTGCTGAGGAGAGGGAGGAAGATGACGGACGGATCCAAACAGTGCAGCTGAATTATTGAAACCTTGAAAGCTTGAATCTGTTCTTCGTCTCTGACTGCCAACACTCGATTCCAATCATCCCGTCAGAAACGGGATTTAGTTTCTTTTCTTCACATCATTCGACTTGTTTTATAAACCCGCTCTGTCGTGGTCGTGTCCCGGTGATTAATTTGATGCATTTTGTTGCACATGAGAAGAAGCGTGCAGAAGTTCAGTTTGTGTTCAACTGTTAGAATAAAGAATCATATTTAAAGCCTTTGACATCATTTTTAAAGGAGGTGTTGTGTTTCTTTTCATTTTTATCAGGACTGCAGCGTTCGTTTGTTTACTTAAATTCATTTGTTGATGTTTTTTTGATAAATCTTTTTGTTCTGTTAATTCGTTACAGTAAAAAAAAAAATCACATCTCCAAATGTTTTATTTTGTCCACGAGTCAAAGATCAGAAGATTTATTCTTATTAAAGACTCTTTTTATTCCTCAAAGTGATTTTTCTATCAAAAAGCCGTTTCCACACACACTCCTGAAAATATCCAGATAACAGCAGGAGGACTGATCCTGAAATCCTCCTGACCTCGCTGTTCACACATGCACCTCACAGAGGGAGACTATCCCTGTCAGACAGGAGGGGGGCGGGGCCTCTACACGACGCTATAATGAGAATATGTGTCTTCATATCAGTGCTACGTGTAGTTGAAGAGAATCTCAAAGTGAACTAAAGAGAGGAGAAGAACATCCTGGAGAACAGGAAACATGCAGCAGCAGGTTGATTAGAGCACGGAGATGGTAGAGGTGGCGTGCAGACAGTCTATGGTCGTGCAGCGATCACAGGGAATAAAGGTCACCACCCCCTCCCACTGGCTCCTCCCACTGGCTCCAGGTGAATTCTCCTGATTATATCCTGCTGTGTTCTCACATCAGATCACTCTGACTTTCTGCAGAATAAACACGAGGAGGCTGGAGGAGAAACTCAGAGTGAAGAGAGAAACATTCAGATGTTTGAGTGATCACATGACGCTCAGAGTGAAGAGAGAAACATTCAGATGTTTGAGTGATCACATGACGCTCAGAGTGAAGAGAGAAACATTCAGATGTTTGAGTGATCACATGACGCTCAGACTGAACACTTCAGGAGTTTTCTGCAGGTGTGAAAGCAGCTCTAACTTTAGAGTGAGTTGTTGCAGCTCTGTCTGATAATCATGTGAACGTCAGATCAGGTTCAACATGAGGTGTGATGGAGTGATTTCATTTGAACGCTGGCAGCTTCAGACTTTCTGTTCAAATTAATGTTTTTTTATTTGGAGAAAAATAAACATGTTTTCTTTTGTTCTACAAAATAGTTTTTATTGAAAAAAATAAATGAACACAATCACCCGAAGAGGAACTTTCTAACCGATAAATCAAATCAAATCTAAAACTGTCCAATCAGAGTGATCAGATCGCCGTGATGATGAAGCTCTGAAAACTTAGTTATTTATTTTTCCTGGGACACTCTGTTTGTTTGTTGAAAGTTTCTGTGAAGTGACAAAAACAAAACAACCGTTGGCATTTTCCCCCCCAAATGATTTTAAGGAAGAATGTGCAACACTTTCCACATGAATATATCAGAAATCCAGATGACTCATCAGTTTTGATTCGATGAAGGATAAGAGTTATTCACAATAAGGCGTGTAGCTGACCTGATTGACAGGTGGGCGCGGTGTAACGGTTTGTCAGGAGGTTTAAAACCCGCCTCAGCTCCAGCTCTCAGCCTGTCGTTAGGTTGACTGAAAGTTAGACTGAGACAGCATTTCCAGCATGGAGACCGCCATCGATGGGACTCCAGCGCCCCCTGCAGGGACAGACGTGCTTCAAACATTCATATTTACAGTCTATGTTTAGAAACTATGAACTCAGAGTGCCCTCTGCTGGACAAACTACATGTTGAAACCATTCCAATGTTTGTGTTGTTTAGTTTTTTTCATCACCCTGTTGATTTTTTCCATTTTAACTTAAAGGTCACTTATCCTTTTCCTCTTCTTCAGTGTAAATAAGTCTCAGAGCTAAATATGTAAATGAGTTGGTGAGTGTTTCCCGCCCTGCAGAGTCAAACATCCTGACGCTAAATGAAAACGCTTCAACCGCAACAGTTCCACCACGGACTGGACGCTTCAGGGTACCGCCACTTTAATAAGAACGCTTCCTCATGCTGTGCCTTAGAGACGTCATCCATTACAAATTTTAAAAATCTCCCTTTACTGACGGATGAATCACTGCGAATATTACAGACTTCATTCAGCATTTAATTCAGGATTCACTTATGCTTTCCCTCATTTGATTTATTCAGACGTCGCGGTGCTTTCTGGGAAATGGAGTTTTTGATAGTTGTCTTTTTTTAATTTTCTCCCATCAGCCCAGAAAATCCTGTCACTCTGCTGCTGTTTCCTAAAGTGAGATCTGTTTTTTATTCCTTATTGTGAACATTGAAACGTTATATTTAACTGGTATGAAATAAAAAGATTTATCTCCTGGACAACGACGACAGAGGTCAGCTTCTCTTTTGTCCTTGTTCGCTGTCAGGTGTGTGTTCGTATCGTTCTCATTTCTGTTGACCAACATCCCTCACTTGTTCTTGAATTTTAAAGTTCGTTAAACGTTTCAGGCGTTGTGACTGAAGATGTTATTCTGTATGTTTCTGTGCCATCGATTGTATCGTTTCTCAAACGTGTGGGATTTAAAGGTACAGAAGCACCGAAAATATGAGGACAGCCTCAGTTTGGATTCACATTTTGTCTTTGTGTTCAAACATCCACACAAATAGAGAAGAAAAGTTTATTACGACGAACAAATCAAACATTGAACATTTCCTTATTTGTGTTCCTACATTTACACCTCAGTGAGTGAAGAGAGGGTTAAAGGTCACATATCCTCATCAACCAGTTTAAATAAGTGTCAGAGCTCCTCAAAACATGTGTGTGAAGTTTCTTGTTCTAAATCCACTCTGATCCTGTATTTGATCATGTCTATAAACCCCTCTATTTCAGCCCTGCTCAGAACAGGCTGTTTCTGTGTCTGTACCTTTAAATATGTAAATTAGCTGTGTCTGACCACGCCCCCTCTCTGGAAGGGCTTGGGTGTACTCAGTCTTTCTCGCTCCATGTCCTATTGTTTACGGTGAGAAGGCAGACTCAGAGGGCAGAACAAACACCTAGCTGTGGGAGTGTCACCCACCTGGAGGAGGGGCTACTGCCCTTTGTGATGTCATGAAGGGAAAATCTCCAAACGGTCTGTTTGAGCACACATTTTCTGAAAAGTGGAGCAGGCTAAAGATGGAGAGGATGGACTTTTCTCATCATTGGGGGGTTTGTAGACAGACTAGAGACACATATTAGAGTTAGAGAGGGAATTTTACAGAATATGTGACCTTTAAACGAACTTTCAAACAAACAAAGAAATGTCTCTGATGAGTAGAGATCACTCTGAAAGTTCAACGATTTAAAACGTTACACAAAATGCCAAAAACTATTCATGTAAAGACTTTATTAAAGTACAAAGTTTTCCCATACATACAACAAATCAATCTGTTAACACAATAAAATAACGTTAAGTGACATCACAACAAAAGCCATCTGAAAAATGTGACCTTTTTAAAACATTCAGCTTGGAGCACAAATGAAGTCCCTGATGTAAATTCCAGAGTTGACTTCTCTTTGAGTGGACGAATTAATAAACTTTATCACATGTAAAAATATCAAAAATAGTCAAAAATCTCTGCATTTAAAACATAAAACCTGTTTGTACCTTAAAGGCAAAAACATATTATCAATAGCAAGACATTTTAGCCCTCGTCCACACGTAGGTGGGTTTTTTTTTTTAGCTTGCAGCTTTTATTATTTCTCTGTTTTCTCCTCAGCTTGAGAAACTCTTCATCTTGTTTAAAGTCCTCCTCACACTTTGACACCTCAGGAGCTCTCTTAAGGGCTAAGACGCTTTGTGAATAACTTTCATCTTTAAAAGGATCTAGTCTGAACGTTAAAGGGAAATTCTTAGAAAATGTCCTGATTCTAAGACTTTTTTTGAATGTTGTCAATGGGAGCAACTCTTAGTACTCTTGAATACAACCCTTGGTCTTGTCATAACAAAAACAGCACTGAATCAGGACTGAAGGAGGTCAGTGAGTCCCTCGATCAGACCTAAACCTGGAGGTCACAGGATGTCCCAGCGCCGGCACTCCTGTTTACGGGCCATGATCAGATTGTCACAGCGGCTGCTCCTCTCCTTCGATCTGTACCGAGTTCTCACGGACAAAATATCATCCAGATAAAGATCCTCGTGTACTTGGACGGCACTGTTGACCTCGTCTTCTTCGTACAGGTAGAAGAGGTCCCTCAGGGTGGTAGTCAGGTCCTTTAGAGGCTCCAGTTCCCGCCTTTTCACTCCCGTCAGTATCAACTCCTCCTCAAAGTGAAACCTTTGAACGATGGTGAGCATCTTGTGGTACTCTCTCATAACTGAGGGTTCGCTCTTCAAAAGGGTTTTCAGTTTTCGTTCCCTCCTCAACATGTGGACCAGCCTGTGGACCAACGTTCCCTCGTAACACCTGGAGGACATCAGGAGAACAAGATGGAGATTTATCATCACGGACATCACCTGACTGAGTCAGGACGTGAATCTCAGGTTGCTGTGTCCTTGAACTCACCGTGCGATCTGTGGTTCAGGTAAGGGGAAGCCCAGCAGCTGGTTCAGGTGGACGGTCTGTCTCAGGCATCCCTGCCATTGGTTGAAGGAGTGGAGGGTGTCTGCATCGAGCCGCAGTTTGAAGGGTTTCTTCTCTCTCTTCAAAGCTGAATCACAAACACACATAGAGGACTGAAAAGGACTCTCTTTTGCATTGCTCTCTACTGCACCTTAAATAATGAGACCATAGGCTGCAGATGAATCCTCAGTGGAAACAATGGTAAGTTAAGACGCCTGTATGACTCATTTATTACCTGCTCGTTGTCTCAGTGAGTCTCCATGACTTACTCCCAGCAGCAGCGCCTTCAGCAGCGTCTCGTCCGGTTTAGGCTCGGCTCTCTGCAGCCAGAAGCAGCTCACTGCCACCAGGAGGCGCAGGTGAGGCTGCAGTCCTTCCAGACAGGCCTCAGGCACTCCCAGAGCATCCAGTAACACCTGCAGACGCACAGAGGGCTCCGCCTGGGGACAAGAGGTCAGAGGTTAATGAGGAACATTGTCGTTAAATTCAATGCTACTTTGTTTATACCACACCTGTAAATTGAAACAGAATAT